CTTCTGCTAATTATTCCTCCCAAGGTTTCTGTCTCCCGTATATACACCTCCTGTTTTTAGACTTTTGTTTCTGTTGCCCCTTTGGATATTAAACCACTTCAGCTTCCATCTCTGCATTTTGGGGCCTTCAAACCTCCATTCAGCCTGAGATTCGCAGGTGAGAGAGGGGGACTATTTGGCATGGCAGAGGTGTAATAAAGAAAAAGTTATTGCATGATCATAGAGGCTGAAAATGGGAACTAACCATTTACCCCCGGCTCACACCGAACGTGATGTGGCTGCTGTGGAGCTGCAGTGTGTGTGTGAAGCAACGGTCCCACAGTTTACCTGGATCAGGCTTTAAAATCTAACACCACAAGATTTTCACATATATGATATTTTTATTTTTAAACCCATGTGGCTCTAAAGTAAATGGATCCTACCTGCCCTACGTGTTCCTCAGTCCAAATGCAGCTCCATCATCTTAAATAAGGCTGTAGATTTTCTACTCTTACATTTAAATGCATCTTTAATTTCTTTCAGTGAATAGCATGCGTGCTTTACCACCTGCTGATTAACATTTGTGTGTCTGAATAGGGCTCCTTGCTGAGCTGTTTTGTCAAACATTTTCTCCTATTTAGACCAATAGAGCTGCCAAACACTCTTGGGCTGATACTCCCTCCAGCTCTCAGCTTCAGGAAACGATTTGATGATTAAGCTGTTGAATCCAACATCAAGCTGAGAGGTTTGATTCCCTCTCTTACAGTCAAACTGGAACTTTCTCTGTTTTCTCTCTAAAGCAGAAAGATGAACCTTTATTGAATCTGAAGCACAGAAAGTAGAAAGTCTGAGATGAATTGATGGAGTAATAAGAGGAGCTGGTCTCCTCCTTCCTTCTTTCCACTCCTTTTAGGGATAATAGTGCGGCTGCTCTCCTTGGCTTCATTATCCGTTGCGGGATGAAGCTTTGGAAGCCCTCAGCTTCCTCTAAGAAGTGTGTGTAAAGAAGCAGAGTGTGTGTGTGTCACTGCGGGTATGTTAAGATGGAGTTTCCTTGCATCTGTGTGGGAGTATGTTCATCCTTCAGGCATCTGAAGTGTTTGCAAGGAGGGTGGGATAATGAAGATGGGGGGAGTGGGCTGCAGTTTGGAGAAGGGTGGGGATTATAAGGGGCTCCCAGCGGGAGAGGAAACTATGAGGGGAAGCTATTTAAAAATAGAATAAAGTCAAATAAAAAATGCAACTTTTATTTTTTTTATAGCTTAGAGCAGAACGGTGGATTAGAAAAGAAGGAGAGGAAACAAAAGGGAAATGGAGGAAGTTTAACTGAGTCAATGACAAAAAAAAACAACCAAACACAGTCAGTGCCTTTACAGGCGTTAAGCTTAAAAGTCCTGATCACAATATAACAGAAAAAAAACATCTAGAAATAAGTAGAAAATTCTTAAATTAAAGGTAAATAGTATTCATACTTAATTTGAGAAGGTAAAGCCAGGCATACACTGTGATTTATTTTATTTTTGTACATTTCGGCCTGATTTTCCAGTCATGTGAGAACGTTTCGATCGACCGACTTGTAGCCAGATGGTGCATTGTGTAGTGTACAGGGGGTATCCAGAGGCAATTAGCCTCTCACGACTATCTCCCGATCAGGAATTGAAGGTCAGAAAATCAAACATGACTGAAATTCAGCCGACCAACGTAAGGTCGCATCAGAGCGTCAGGCCGCACAGTGTGAAAACATGCATGTGAGCTGTGAACTTTTAAACTCTGCGGTTTCGTCTATAGTTTGAGCTGTAGCTCTGTCCAATGATTGAAATATGGTACAGTTTATGCCCGACTTAAATAAGGTGATTTACCAATGGAATGAGTATATTTACCCTAAAATAAGATAATTAGATAGTATGCACTTAAATTAACGGCAACTTTTTTTCTTATTTTAAATGTAAATTGTCTTTTTCCAATTGGCAAAGTGTTTCACTTACCTCTCCAATTCAAGAAGAAAATCCCTTATTTCAATAAAAAAAAAATTTTTTTATATGAAAGGCTTGATGAATCATCTGATATTGTTGTGTTGTATCCTGGTGGACACTGATTCTCCTTCTACATGACGCTCTCTTATTGTTTCCAAAGAACTGTCTCATTATTTTGTAGGCAACAGCTTCACATTAGCCCGCTCTAATCGGACGGATCTTATCATATTTATATTGGAACTCCTGTTTTGTGAAGCTGAGGAAGAAGCATTTAGTATTTCTTCAATCAGACTGTCATTACTGTAAAGCAATATTTATCTAAATTTGATTTTCCCATCTTTTTTAGATTTGAAACAAATTTTGATATAACTGTTTCCCTTTAAAGGCTGCTCAGTCACGCAGTGGCTTGCAGCAAAAAGATCCGGGTTCGATTCCCAGCCTGGCTCTTTCTGCGTGAAGTTTGCATGTTCTCCCTGAAGAAGGGGGGGGTTCTCTCAGGGTACTCTGACTTCCTCCCACAGTGAGGTTAATTGGTTTCTCTAAATTGTCCTTAGATGTGTGAATGATTGTTTGTCTCTATGTTGCCGTGCGATGGACTGGTGACCTGTCCAGGGTGTACCCTGCCTCTAGCCCCTAAACAGCTGGAAATGGGCACCAGCACCCCACTTGGGATAAGCGTGATAGAAAATGGATGGATGGATGTTTCCCTTTGAACTTTACCTCTACAGCGTCTGCCCACATGAGTGAGAGGCGAAGCGATACGTTGGAGTGAAAAGATGACGGCTTCTCTTCGAAACTTGTTTTCTTTCCTGCCATCCTATTACACATTTTCTTGGCTTTATTTACCTAAAGGAAAAAAACAAACAAACTCCTCAGTCTCTTATTTTCCATTCTTCTTTTTATCTTAGTTTTTAACTCTCTGGTCATGCCTGGTCTAAAGCAAGACACAGAAGCTGGGATAATGGCCTATTAATTCCTACTTCCTAACTCTGCTTCCCTGCTGTCTTTCCTTTTCATTAAAAGTCTCATCTGTTTCTGCTTAACCATGTCGGATCTTGTTCTCCCCACAATCCTTCATGTTGTGATGAAAGGAAGGACCAGGCTTGTTTTTGTCTTAGTCAGATGGGCCGCCGCATGGATAGAGAGGAATAAGTGGGATTTGATAGAGAAAGGAAAATTTCCTTCTCTTTTTGTTCCACTTTATGTTCATGCATTTTCACACCTGGATGTCAAGGTTATAATTAAATGCTGTATTGAATAGAGAAAATCTCATTTCTGTATAGACATTTAGTCACCTTTCAACAATAATGTACTTTTGTAGGGTTTGATGTGATATAGCATCATAACATATTACTTAAGGCTGATTTATACTCAAAAACTGCATCTGGAATTGTGTGTCGTGGTCAATGCAGATATGCCCCGCCCCTCCGCAGGCAATCTGCTGCACCTATCCAAAATTATAGGTGATCGCAGACAGTGCCACAGACAGGAGGCCTCTGATTTATCAAAACTAAATCTGCTCTACACTATGCGTATTTCCTGTTTGGTACCTTACCGGCTTGTTTTGTTTGTATGACCGCCATTGTGGAAAACGACTCGTGAAGATTGACCAGCTAAAAGAGTGAGGTGAGCGAGAACGCTGGGACCCTTTTTCCACCTGGATCCCTGCCCTTTTCGCCCTCATGTCCTTCCGTTGTCGCACAAACTTGCCCCTTGCGTTTTTCCACTTCCTCACTGCCTCTGCTGTATCTAGACCCCCAGCTAGTTCGTCATTGTCCCTTTTCTGTTGACGCATGGAATAACAGACCAGACCATGCTTCAAAAATTGGGCTTTAATGAAAAATCTGAGACACACTGCTGCAGGAGGATATCCAGCCCTTTAGTTGGAAAGTGTAAGGATAAGAATATGTGGTTTGCAAAAAGTGTTGTTTTATTTTTTTTGTTTTCCTAGTTCTCCGAGTAAATACTTTTTCCTGCATTTACAGGTCTTTAAATGATTATTTGGTGTTTTTTCTCTATCGCTACTGGGCATGTAGAAACAAAGACTTAATGCCACCTCTATGTAAATTCATCTACAGTGCTGCTTGATTGGTCAGAGGGCATTTGATTATGTTATTTTTCTATTTTTCCCACATATTCTCAAATGGATTGAGCCTTGATTTGGAATGGACCAATCCACCCGATTACTTCACTGTCACCACAATAACAGTGAAGCTCTGGCTGGGTGTTTAGGGTTTCTTACTTCTGGAAGGTGAACCACCTCTGCACTCTCAAGTGTTCTGCAGTCCCTAATGGGTTTTCTTCCAGTGGTCTCTCCAGCCATTAGGGTGCACTGGGGAATAGTGGTTAGCACTCTTGCTTCACAGCAATGAGGTCCCAGGTTTCACTCTCAGGCTTTGCTGGGGCCTTTTTGAGCAGAGTTTTTTCTAGGTTTTCTCTGGCTGCTCCGGCATGAGACTCTTTTTTTTCTAGTCATCACCTATCTTTAAAAAATGAAGGTATCGGGTATGATTATATTATCCCATTTAAGCTGGAAAAATTAGTAGTCAACCATTTTAAACGTATGTTCGCTCTGGAAGCTACTACATTTCAAAATGCTGTGCATAAAGATTTCAAGAAAGGTACATATTCCATCATGTTATTTGACTCGGTGGTTTGTTTTTTTTAATTTTGTTTTTAATTGATGGAGGCTTCTTTATTGTTCTTATAATGGATAACTGCCAGGCAGCAAATAAACAGGGGGCAACATTCTTCCTTTTTGATTTCCAATTCTTTGGTTAACAGGACAAACTGCAATGTTGAAAGAAACTAGACTGTGCTTCGTGATACAGACATTACTTTAAAGCTGTAACATTTATGCGAATTAAATGAAAAAAAACAAACAATTATGGTGGAAAAACTTAAAACTGTTTAATTTAACATTAAACTCGATGTCAGAGCCTGCTGACGGAAAATATCACAATATAGTGAAGTCTTCTAGAAACTTTAAGAATCAGCACACACGTTTAACATATGTTTATTCTAATGCTAAACAATGTGTTGAATAATAAATACTTAACAAAATAATTTTAAAAAGTTCATGTTTTCTTTGCACATTTTGAGTTGTCTGTGGGTTTGCAAAGGAGGTCCGTGGTTGAAGGCTAATGTGTTTTGAGATGCCTTGATCTAAAGAGTAAAAATCCTTTTTTCTGTTAAGTCTCTCAAGAGATCTTAAGAGAGGCAGAGCTACTGGAACCTTTACCCGGATTAAAGAATGGATAAAGTCTCTCAGTGAATCTGCAGCCATTGAAAGAGTAGATGAGATCTTTACTATCAAGACCATAAAAACAGACTAAGCCTTCATCATAGTCCACAAACAGCCCAATTCTCTGAGGGCTCGGGGTAACACATAGAGGAATATCATGGCTTGCCCGAGCCTTGTACTCACTTCCCCTCCTTAGACTTAGTAACCAATGGCCAATCTCCTGGCTCTTTGTGATTTTATTCATCCTGTTGATCGACTCATTAACAACTCCCAGATCATATCTCACCATCCCAGTCACCTGGACTTCAAAGAAGAATCTTCCTGAACAGAAACTCTCTTTTGCCACGATTCCTCCTCCTGGATTGAACCTCTTCGGCCCACCTGGAAGAGATTTCTTAATATCACCTAGACGGACTTGTTTGCAGTCTTTAGATAAGATTAGCCAAGGATCTGCTGTTTGAGGATCCAGAGTTAAATTCACCTTAAACCCCTGCGCTCTCTGTATCTCTGCTTCCAGAAGGTTATTCTTTGCTTTTCCAAAGGTAGTCTGTATCTTTTTTTCAGCCGACTCTACAGCTTTTTTCACCATCACCTCATAGGAAGGCAGTTGGACACTGACTGCAGACCAGTTCTTCATGGTTGGAATTATGTTGACGGAAAAGAAAGTCTGCAGAACATGAATATCATCTTCAGAAATTGACAGCTGTTGCACATCAGAGCTACTCTGCATCAACACTCGTATTTCCTTTTCAAGTTCAGCAATAAGCCCTTGAGTTAGCTCCTCTTTTTCGGTTTTGCTCATTTCAATTTTCTTGCAGAGTTCATCCAGACCCTGATCAAGGATCTTTTTCAAATCTTCGATGACCTGAAGAGCATCTGCTGCCTGCCTCTCAGCAGCCTCTTTATTCAGTTTCGATGTGTGCCTGAGATCCAGTAGTTTTGCACGTCTGTCTTGAATCATCTGCTTCAATACTCCTTCAGTTCCTCTCAGCTCAGATCTCTTTAGTTCAAACTCTTGGCTCAGAGGAACATAGTTGTGCTCTTTATGATTGAAAAGGATGCAGAACATGCAGACAGTTTTGTTGTCTGTTCTGCAGAACAACTCAAAGGGTTTGTTGTGTTCAGAGCATATCCTGGCCTTCAGGTTCTCCACAGGGTCTAACAACTGATGTCTCTTTAGTCCAGCAGCCGTCAGGTGAGGCTTTAGGTGCATTTCACAGTAGGACGTTAGACACACCAAGCAAGACTTAACTGCTTTCAGTTTCTGCTCGGTGCATTCGTCACACAAAATGTCTACAACTCTGGTAGCCTGATGCTGAATCTGACTACTTCTGCTGATGATGTTTCTTTCCAATTTGCCAAGGCTAAAAAAATGTTCATTGGAAGTGAGGGTGGAGGTCCTACTGGTACTGCTGCAACTCTGCCTCTTCTGTAGCTCTGCTTCATGGGGTTTCATCTTAGGTTTTCTAAACAAAGTCTGCAACTGACCCACAGTTTTTACTACAGCTTTTCTCACCATCTTCTCATACAAAGGCAATGGGACACTGACAGCAGACCAGTCCTTCACAGCTGGAACTCTATTGACAGAAGAGAAAGTCTGCAGAACATGAACATGATCATTGGATAGTAAGAGCTGGTACACATTAGCGCTACTCTGCATCAACACTTTCACTTCCAGTCCAAGCTCTGCAATAAAATTTTGAGTTAGCTGCTCCACTTTGGTTTGGCTAATTTCAATGTTCTTGCTGAGTTGATCCAGACCATTTTCAAAGATCTGCTTCAAATCTACAAAGACCTGCAGACCAGCTGCTGCCTGACGATCTGCATCTGCAGTTTTGAGACCCTCCATCTTTGCCCGTCTCTCTTGAATCATCTGGTTTAATGTTACTTCCGTCTCTCTCAGCTCAAATTTCTTTTGTCCAGCCTCGACATTCACAGGAACGTAGTCGTGGTTCTTGTGATCGAAAAGGATGCAGAACATGCAGACAGTTCGTTGGTCTGTTCTGCAGAACAACTCAAAGGGTTTGTTGTGTTCAGAACATATCCTGGCCTCCAGATCCTCCACAGGGTCTAACAGCTGATGTCTCTTCAGGCCAGCACTTGTTAGGTGAGGCTTTAGGTGTTCTTCACAATAAGATGCGAGACACACCAAACAAGACTTAACTGCTTTCAGTTTCTGTTCAGTGCATTCGTCGCAGAATACCACTCCCTCGCCGTTACTACCACTGGTGTCTCTGGTACTGCTGGACTCCATTGTTGTTGACTTGCTGAAATTAATAGATCAATCCTGAAGTCTGGGCATTTTTAGAGTTTCTCCTTACATTACCGAACACTAACAGAGGACATGCCTATTAAATGCTTGTGTGATTCAGCTTTGGCAGAAGTTGTGTGCACAAGGCAGCGTGATAGAAGAGATGTTCTTAAATATATTCCTGGTCTTCAGGCAGCATTCAGCAGGCAACCATGTTCCTCACTGACAAGAAACCAGAAAGAAATGCATTTAATAAAACACATTTTCAGAGCAAATGAGCAGTGTTCTTCCTGGATTAAAAATACTGTATTAATTAACTAAATGTTAGGATTAGTACTTGATGACAGTTAAAAAACAGATTCTTTTGAGTGGTTCTTCAAGTCATGTCTATTCTACAGCAGATATACTTTGGTTTATAAAAGTGCGGTATTCACATTGTGTCCAGATAAACAAGTATTTACACTTATAACACCAGTGAGGTCATAAACAAATCGTCTTTTACTGCACTTAAGTTGATGAGCTCAATAAAAAAAGAAGAATACCTCCAGAGGTAAACTAAGGAAAGATCCCAGTGAAGGTACTGCTAAAGTGAAAGAGGCAAGACAAATGGATCAAAGCAGTCAGGCAAGAAATGGGTATAAACATAAAATGTAAGGAAAAGACATAGGGATGGATAGATCAACACTTAATACAAAAATCAATGTCAGAAAATTTCCCAACTAAAAGGTGGGAACAAAAGAACAAAATGATAAGTAAACTTGAAATATCTCCAGGTAATAAATCTGAACCAATATGGCTAAAGTTATGAACAATAGGAATTTACAGAAAAACAAAAGCACAAATTTAGAACCAAAGACCTAAGAAGCATGACATTTACAAATCAGTGCAAACAACATAAAAATGGCACAAGAACAAGAACCAAAGCAGAACTAGGCCACTATAGCCACCTGCCCAAAAGCTACTTTTTCAATTATGTAATTTTGCCAAGTTGGACAATTTTAGCCTCCTGGAAACATTGTGTACATAATAAAGCGATAAATAGATAGAGTTTTGCATAAATGGACATCTTTGAATCAAATTGAAAACAAGATTAAACGTTACACATTAACATCTTTTTTTTTTTAAAGATCATTCAAATGCAATATCAATGAAGGCGTGCTCTGCTCTGTTATCATTTATTTTATGGTTCCAGGTTTTCCCCTTTTAATCTGCTAACATTCTGGCCACAGTCCTCTTTGTAAAGTAAAAACACAAACATAACTTTTTACTGGGAACACAGTTACTTGCTACTCAACAACACAGGGTAAACAAGAAATACATAAGAATCTTAAAAAAAAAATACAACCAAAAACAATTAGAATAGCAAATACAAAAAAGAAAAATGGAAATAAAACCAATGAAAACTCAAAAACAAAAATCAAACAGATCCAAAGCCAAGACAGATTATGTATCCTACCCACTATGTCATTTCAACTTCCCATGAAGTTGAATTTATGATTATGATGTATTATTAGTAAAACCATTTCAGAAACAGATGATTTATTAATGGCAGTGCTGAGTGGTAGCATGAGACTCCCTGTGTAAAACTTTGAAAACTTTGATTTATTTGACAGAAGTTATTGATAATATCACTACATTAAAGACACAAGCAGGCCAATATAAACAATCACTATATATTATTTGAGGAAGTTTACTGTTAAATCTACCCACCCAGTCATTTCAGTAAAATAAAAACTGACTGGTTTTGACCAAGTCTAGTTTCATTAATAAAACCAGATTCAATATAATGAAACAACACAATGTGAAAAAATAAATTCTCTGCTACAATTAAATGCGAAGAGCTGCGATGTACAAACGTATTTGCCCCCACCATTGGAGTTTGGAGTTCCCCCCCGAACTCCAAATGCAATATGGCAGTAAAGTGTGCTGTTCTGCATGGAACGAATTCAGATCATTGAGTGAAAGTCTTTACATCATTTCTATGAATCTTTAGCGATACTGCAATTGAATAAATGGCACCATACCATCCAAATTAGAACCATGTGACTATATAACTTATATATATGTAAAACATATGGACTTTATAGTATTGCACCTATTTTATTTTTTCCTTTCCATATACTTCTGAAGAATACCGGTGGAGAATTGTTACACTAATCTATTAAATCAGAAATTCTTATTGCCAAAAAGTGTTTTACACATACTAGTATTTGTTTTAGTCAGGTGCTAAACACAGACAAGCAAAAATACAGTTAAATTAAACAAATCCAAAAAGATAAGTTTTAAACCCAAATTAATCAGCTCAAATAAAGTTCTTAATAAATGCATTTAGAAGTAGAGAAATCTTAGAGCTGGTAAAACAGATTGGCTTGAGGTGCTTAAAACCATTTCAAAACATGAAATAGAATTTTAAGAAAGCTAATTTTAGGCTTTCATTTAAAATAAAAACGAGTTTACAGATTTACGGGACCATAGGGTAAACTACAAAATAATAATTAAATAATTCCTAAAAAATATGAAGTGTTGTAACCAGAGATGTAATATCATTTTGCCAAAATCTCAGTATCAGAAAACCTCTTATATTAAAACTTCACAATCTAAGGAACCAAAAGCTGTTTATGTTTGTGAGACTCACCTTGTTGCTGAAGAAAACACCTGCTTGAAAAAGTCCTCAGTAATGTTCACTGTTCTTGGTCTAAAGACCAAAGCTTTCTTAATATTCTTCTAAGTGAACTGGAACATTGATTGATGTTTCCCTGTTATGAAATCTGCTGCGTTCAAACCATTATCTGATATTGCCTTTGAATTACAGTGCAAAGGTGAAGTTTTACTATGTTCCACAATCATATAAAGTTTACTTATTAGTATAACCCATGAGTTAAAAAAAAACTTGAAGATGCTGAATCACTAGAATAGCAGTTTATTGGCTTTGCAGCTGGAGCAGGCAAATGTTATATGGAGCAAAGGTTTATTGAGAAGAGACAGGGATCAATTGGAAAAACAACTAAAAGTAGAATACTTCAAACCCTCATAGTTAGAAAAGTAAAGTCAGAGTGCTAAGCCAATATTTAGGCATGGTGGTGGTTGCATCCCACTGAAAGCTTTGTTTCACTGCCAAATTATTGCTTTTCATCTAAGATCTCACAGCCTGATGGTTAAAACATGCACACAGTCATGACTTCTAAAAGAAGAAACTTCAAAAAGAAAGATTTCTTACAGTTTACTGGAGGGCCCCAATTTTACCATGAGGGAACTTCGGGAATAGTGACGCTGTTGAAGGAAATCAGTTAGCTCAGTGCATATGGTGTGCTCTGATGACATTCAATAGAATTAACAAAGACTCATGGATAAGTGTCAAAACGTCTGAGCAAAAGTCCGGTGTCCTTACAATTTAAGCCTCTTTTGTGGAAACCCATATTCTTCACCTGTCATGACTCAGACCTAAGGAACTAGTATTCAGGCGAGATAGTAGGATTACTCAAAAAGCATTTATTAAAAAACTGGTGGAACGGATCAGGTCATAAAAATAAAAAAAACTCAGTTACTCAAAAAAAAAACACTTACCGCTGACACAAGAGAACAAGAATAATCTTGCACTGATGGCTTGGAACAGGCAGTCATCAGTACCAATTTCATGACATCATCTCTTTAATTAGCAATATCTTTTCCTGTAGCACCCAGGTATACACTAAAATCAATAAAAATACTAACAAATTATCAGTCATTCAGAAGTGAGATGTTGGTCTGGTCTATATGTGGGGCGTGTTTAAAAGGGTAAAACAAATAGATAATCTTACCCAGTGGTAGACAAGGTACTCAACAGTAGTGCTTGAGTAAAAGTATTGATACTCGTAGTCCTTGGTCAAACATCAACTCAACTTAAAGTATTAAAGTACTCAATAATACTTAATTATCTATAAGCACATGCATTTAAAAGTACTTAAGCATTCAAAAAAACAAACTACATTTTCTAATATCAGTACATTTCTATCTAACTTTCAGAGTAATTCTAAAGAACCTTGTAACTTTCAGAAACCAGTTCATGTATTAATGCTTAGAGCAACTCTGCTACAAATTCTGCACCACCTGTAAAGAACTTCAGTATAAATTGCCTAAAGAAATAAGAAAAGCTATTGTGGTTGTTATTTTTTTATGTAAAAACAAACCACAAATAAAACAGGACTGAATCTTGCCGTACTTTGCCTATGGAAGAGAGGTTCGAGGTTGAATCTATTACCACAAAGAAACTGCAGCTTGGATATGAGACTCATCCTACTTAATAACTTGGCCACAAGGCAACAATAAAAACTACAAATATCTGCCCTGAGTTTCTCACATTTGTGGAACATCATGCAAATATCTAACAAATTGGTCTCCAAATGACCCAGCATTGTCAAATATCTGCCATTTTGACATTGCATAAAAAAATACCCAAAAACAGCAACAACAGATTACAAAGCTGAGCTAAGACAAAAGGAACAAGTAACTAAGCTCCCCCCACAGTAATCAAGTAAATGTACTTTGTTACTTTCCACCACTGATTTTACCAGAGTACCTTTTCTGCA